ACTCCAACAACACTCAGTTTGTTTTAAGGAAGAAGATTTTAATGGTGAGATGTCATGTTCAAAGTTAGACCTTTAGTTTATTGGACTGCTCAGTGGAGCAAGCAGATGTTCTTGTTCCTGAAAGGTTCACTAGCCATGCAGGTCCCCATGGCTAGAGAGCTACAAATAGAGTGACTCTCTCTTACCTTCCAGTTGTCTCTTTGTTGATTGGTTTAGCTATGAAGAGCTTACTCTTGGTCCTTGTGGTCCTTGTCTTGCTCTCCTGTGTTCCACCAGGTAAAATGAAATATTCTCCCTGTGCAATTATAAGCAGTGAAGGGAGAGGGGATGAGAAGAGAGCAGGACTTGGATGAAGGAAGCTGAAACAGGAAGGGATGTGATCAGAGATGGACACTTCGGGCTGTTCCAGAAAATGGAGAGAAGATGCCCTTAAAGGACACATAGCAGGAAGTGGTTCTCTCCAGTGAAGAAGATGGTTCTGGATTTTGGTCTGGGGAGTCTGTGAAGTTTGAGGGGAAAGTTGGACCAATGGTATTGGCAGACGTGGGGAAAAGAAAAAGCATGAGACCTTTAGAAGACAGGTAGGATTTGGGAGTGGGAGGGGGACCATTCCTTCAGGACTCTTAGAATTTGCCCTCCTAAGTCAGTTACCTGAATTACTTTTCTCACATTGAGAAGCCTAAGCAAATTTTATGCTGAGCAGAATTAGCAAACAGAGCTGGTTGCTCCAAAGTTTTAACTTACAGCATGATGGGATCCTTGGAAACATCTGTGAGAGGGCTCATAATTTACATCCTCTGGACAGAAACTAGCAACTTGATAATACCAAGAAGGGTCCACTGAAGTCACTGAAGTGGAGGTTCTCAAACAATTTTTGCTTGTAGTTTGCTGGGGTCTGCAGAAAACTACCCAGACCTTCATATTGAAGTTACCACTTAAAGGTCAAGTGTGAAGTACTCAAAAGACAGGCCCAGATGAGGATTGTGTTGAGACTGCCACTGTCCTGGGTGGTGCACTGTGTTGCTGTTGGACTCCGCTGTCCCCAGAGGGGTGCTTCAGGGCTAACGGGCACATGGCAGGCAAGTTTGCTTGCCAGTGGCCTTTGGTCATACCGCATTGATTATTCTCATACTGCAAAGCCCCAATAGATGGTTCCATGAACTGGCTGAATGGAGAGACTGATGGACAGCTCAGTAGGGTGACTCAGAGCCACCCTCACCTGCTTAAACTGCCTTCCTACTAATCCCCTCCACCCCTTAGCTTCCAGAGGTACCCAGGTCTTAGGGCTATAAAAAATACTAGCAAAAGATTTAGATATGGGTTTCAGGTATTTCAAACCATTTCACACTCATTATCCCATGTCATGCTTTCAAGTACCCGGTGATTAAGCCAAGGCAGGTAGTAAAGGTACTTTGCTAAAAATCACACACAATGTTATTGGGATGCAGGGCTAGAAGCATGGGCTTCTCTAATTCCAGGTCAGTGATCTTTTCTTCTTCAAGCTGAGACTTTGATGATCTCATACTGCCTTGGTACTATCCCAGACATCTCCTGGTGTAGGGCCTCTGTAAATCCCTGGGACTACTCTGAGGTTCTTTTCATGGCAAAGAGTCTCAAGCTGAATGTGCTGGGCCCTGGTACCTGCATATAATTGATTAGTGATTCATGTAAGTGGGGATCATGGGAACTGATGACTTATAATAGGTTCTTCGGAAAATAAGAACCACCGAAAAGAAGGTACTCAGCCATAACTTGACTGGGATGTTTTGATTCCATCCAATTTACCATTAAAAAGTTATAAAGTATAATCTGATTCAATCTAATTTATCCATGGTACCATGACACTGCAGAACACTGTGCATTAACCCTTGTTTCTGTTGACAGTTAAAAGTGGACCAAATATGTATATAAGAAGAGTCTTTTCTACATGTTGGCGAACTAAAGGTGTTTGCAAGAAATCATGTGGAAAAAGTGAAGAATATCATATTTTTTGTGATAGTGCTTTTCTGTGCTGCATTGACAAAAAGTATTTACCTATACAGGTTGGAAAATAAGTATCTGAGTATCTGGGTCTCCTTCTGATTTCCTCTGGGGACCCAGATCTTTCTCAGTTGTACCATCCCATTAAAATGATGGTTTAGCCTGTCTGTGTTTCTGTGTCTGCTTTGTTTCTCTTTATTTAGAAGCAATTTAGTGTCTCTTCTATGGAAATAATCTCTTGTTAAATTCCTTGTCTTCACTATTTTTCTTTCATTAATTTATTCCTTATTAATCATGTCCTAAAAACTTTTTTTGAAGTGTATGATACAACCAGAAAAGTATACAAATCATAGGTGAACATCTTAATGAATTTCACAAATTTAATACACCCATGTAACCTGCACCCAGATGGAAAAGAGAATATTACAACATCTTAGTCACTACTGGTCACTATTCCACAAAGGATAATTCCTAGCCTGGCTTCTTTTTTTTTTTCTTTTTTTTGCAGATTTTATTTATTTATTTGACAGAGAGAGACACAGCCAGAGCAGGAACACAAGCAGGGGGAGTGGGGGAGGGAGAAGCAGGCTTCCCGCGGAGCGGCGAGCCCGATGCGGGACTCGATCCCAGGACTCCAGGATCATGACCTGAGCCGAAAGGCAGTCGCTTAACCAACTGAGCCACCCAGGCGCCCCCTAGCCTGGCTTCTAATAGCATAAACCCTGGCGCCTATTTTTGAACTTTATATAAGTGGAATCATATAGTAGGTACCTCTTTGTGTCTGGCTTCTTCTAATCCACAGGATTTTATGGCATTAATTGATATTGTTTGATGCAATTATAGTTTATTCATTCAATGCTATATAGTATTACATTGGAGAATATTTGAATATTCTAGTGTAGATGGTCGTGTATATAATTTCTAGGTTTTGGCTCTTTTAAATAGTGCTGTGATGAATATTCATGTTTTTTGAGGCTTATATGCAAGCATTTTTGTGGGCATATACTCGGGAGTGAAATTGCTAGTGATGGGCCATGTATATATTCGATTTTAGTAGATATTGTTAAATTGTCTTCCAAGTTGGTTATACCAATTTATACACACAGGAAGGGACTGAGAATTCTTGTTTTTTTCCATCCTTTTTCATGACTAGTATTTTCTGTCTTTTTTCCCCTCCACTTTGAAGGGTATGTAGTGAAGGAATGTGGTGGTTTAACTTGCATTTTACTGATTACTAATGAAGCTGTGCACATTTTTATGTATTTATTGGCCACTTAGATATCCTTATTTGTGATGTACCTATTCAAGAGTTTCATCCATTTTTCTACTGGATTGTCTAGCTTTGTTATTTGGGAACCTCCTAAGAAACACTCATTATTTGACATTGGAAATAATAAAATAAAATAATGTTGAATATATTTAAGTTTAAATATGGAGAATGTTGTAGTTTGTGATGCACAGTTAGAGAAATTTTGTACTGTTTGGTATGACCAGGCCATAAAAATGTTTCCATTCTTAAAATTATTAAATTTTATCATCATAAGCAAGATAAATCATTCAAGTTAATAATGATTCAGCCCCCTTCTTTCTTGAATAGGTTTTAGGAGGAATTAAGTCAATGAGAGAGAAGCAGTTCTTCCAATATGACAGGGAAAGAAGGAATAGATTTGCTCCTGATGGGCAAACTTCTGGGAGGGGACATTGTCACAGTATGGAGCTTTGATGGCTGCTGTGGTGGGTCAGGTACCCACCCTGTGCAGACAACTTCCTAAGACTCAACTAGACTCTTTGGCTCTTCTAAGAAAAGGACAAAGGTGATTATATACATAGCCAGGTCATATTTCAATGTCATTAACATCACTCCTGCCATTAGCTACATCCATCCTGAGAGTGTCCTATTCAGGACAGTTTTTACTGTAGTCACAGAGTAGTGCAACCATCATCACTCAGCCAACTTTAGAATGTTTTTATCACTCCCCAAAGAAACTCTGTGGCAGTCATTCCTGTGTTAGTGTGCTGGGGTTACTACCACAAAGTACCACAAACTGGGTGGCTTCGTTTAAATGCTGGAAATTTATTTTATCATTGTTTTGAAGCCTATACGTCTACGACTGAGATATCAGCAGGGTTGGTTCCTTCTGAAGGCTGAGAGAGAGAATGTCTTTCATGCCTTTCACCTAGCTTTAGATGGTTTGCTGGCGTTCCTCAGCTTATGGAAACATTGCCCTAATCTCTTCCTTTATTTTCATGTGGTTTCTTTCCCCCTTGTGTGCATATGTCCGTGTTCAAATTTACCCTTTTTATAAGGACACCAATCATATTGGATTAGGGCCCATCCTAATGACCTCATCTTAACAACTACAACACTATTTTCAAATAAGGTCAAATTCTGAGGTACTAGGAATTAGGATTTCGAAATAATGAATTTTGGGGGACACAATTTAACTCATCAGACTCTCCATTTCTTTACGTCCTCACTCAGCACTGGTCAACCACTAGTCTACTTTTGATTTGTCTGATCTGAACATTTCATATAAATGGAATCATACAATACAGGTGTGTTTTTTTTTTTTGACTGACTTTTTCCCTTAGTATAAGACTTGCAAGGTTCATCCATGTTGTAGCATGAACCAAAATCTCATTTTTAATTTGCCAGATATTCTATTGCATGGATGTATATTTAATTGTATAAGAAAACTTGAGAGCTTTTTTCAAAGTGGCTGTACATTTTATACCTCTACCAATAATGTATGACAGTTCCACCTTCTCTACATTCTCGTCAATATTTGGTGGTATTAGCTTATTTAATTTTTAGGCACTGCAATGCATATGTGCAGTGGCATCTCAATGTCATTGTAGTCTGCATTCTCCCGATGACCAAAGAAATAATTTTTAATGTGATTCTTGACAATTTCTGAATTTCTTTTGCCAAATGTATGTTCAAATCTTTTGCCCATTTTTATTGGGTTTTTTTTTTGTTCTTTTATTATTGACTTCTTAATCCTTAGTTTTCTTCTTCTTATTTTTTGAATGGTGTGTTTTGATGTTTCATAGTTTTAAATTTTGTCAAAAGTCAAATTTACACATGTTTTTCTTTTTAGTTTTTGCCTTTTTGTGTCCTAAGAAACCTTTGCCTACCCCGAATCATAAAAATATTCTTCTCTCTTCTCTTGTGAACTTAGCTTTTGTGTTTACTTCTATTATCCATCTAGAATTGATTTTTGAGTGTGGTGGGAGAAAAGGTTTCTTTTTTTCTGTATGAATATTAAGTTGTTCCTGCAGCATGCATTGAAGAGATTGTGCTTTTCCCATTGGATATCCTTGGCAACTTTGTACAAAATCAAATTTCAGGGTTCTGTATTCTGTTCTATTAGTCAATCCTTAAAGAGTATCATGCGGCCTTTCTTAATAATAAGCCTTAAATCCATATAATGACAGTTCTGCAGTTTGGTTTTTCTATTTCAGTATCATTTTAAAATTCTAGGTCCTTTACATTTCTTTTTTTAAAAGTAGGCTCCACATCCAGTGTGGAGCCCAACGTCGAGCTCAAACTCAAGACCCTGAGATGAAGATCTGAGCTGAGATCAAGAGTCGGCTGCTTAACCAGCTGAGTCACCCACGTGCCCCGTCCTTTGTATTTCTGTATCAACTTTAGAGTCTGTCGGTTTCTTCAAAAAAGTCTCCTGGAATTATGACGGATTGTGTTGAATCTCTAGGTCATTTTAGAAAGAACTGACACCTTAATAATGTTGAGTCTTCCAATTCATGAATATAGCGTATCTTCCATTTAGGTCTTTTATTTATTGCTGCAATGCTTTGTAGTTTTGATGCTATTATAAATGGAATTGTCTT